CAAAAGCAGATTTAGAAATACACTGAAGAATAATACAGTTCTAGTCATCATGCATGAAATAGCCACATGGAAATAGTAAAGAGTCTACTAAAATTAAGCAATTTTCCTCCCATATCTACAAGCAGCTGTTGATCAGACATTAAGTAATGCAGGTATAAATCAACAGAGAGACTTACGCATATATATAACTCTGTGGCTGTAATGGGAAACTGAAATGCACAAAGGGAAAAGTAAGCAGATTGCACCAGTCAACTATTTTTAGATCTTTGGACTCAGAGGTTGGTTCCCTTTTTTCAGTGTTACCCTGTGTGATCTTGAAAATTGGAGCTTTGGGGAAAGAAACGCGAATGCGTAAAAGTCTTGTTAAAGTTACTCTTGGGAATAGCATATTCTAAAAATCTGACTATAATGGTAATTACATCTAACCCCTAAGTCAGATAAAATTACTTTGCAGTTTCCTGTGTGATAATTCTGCTTTTGCTATTTTTTTTTTATTTCCAATTTTATTTTCAATTTGCTATTGAATGTAATGGTCAGGGAGTAGCCGAGGCTGACTGTCAATCTTGTTTCATTCTAAACTGGCACAGTTTCTTTGCAATGTTTCTGTTAAAATTAACCACCTCACAATAATGAGTGCTAGTATCGTGTTTGTTTGTTTGTTTATGCATTTATTTATATCCACGTTCATTATTTTTATAAATCAAGGCAGCAAACATACATAATAATCCTTCCTCCTTCTATTTCCCCCAAAACAACAACCCTGTGAGTGAGTTGAGCTGAGAGAGAGTGACTGGCCCAGTTGGCTTTCATGCTTAGGCAGGACTAGAACTCAGGATCTCTTGGATTCCAGCCTTTAGCGTATCCTCCACAGACCAATTATGCAGTGGGCAGTCTTGTTCCAAAGAGGATTTCCTTAATACATTCAATATGGGCAGTTTACATAGGTTGTGAAAGGATACTACTGATTTTCCTTGCCTGAAAACAAACTATAATCATTTCTTTGAATTTATTAGCAAAACTAAAGCGTAATCTTGTAAGGGAGATGGGTGGCATAAAAATTAAACAAACAAACAAACAAATAAGTCCTATTGCCTGTAGAAAATCATACATTGGACAAAAACAGGTTCAATAGCTTCCTACAATTTCTAGTCATATACATGCTTTAAAAAAGTTGTAAGCTTAACACCCTTACCATATAGAAAATATATATACAGGTAGTTAAGTCACTTACTTTGTTTCAACCTATGGCCAAATGAAGTGCTACCATTTAATAGTATTGAGTAAAACTTTGCATATGATTTTAGTTTTGTAATTGTGTTTTCTAGTCTATCTTTAGTCTCTATGAGAACAGGAATGAAAAACAAGAAATTTTGTACAACAGCAACATTAGAAGATCCAAATGTTAAAACGGGACTCCTGTCTCCTTTACTGTTGCTAGCAGAGGGTGTTTTAATACCTATTGCTGCATGTTCTTAGTTGCAGGAGATTTGCCCCAGTGTTCAGGTGACCATTTGAAAAGTTTAAATGGCACATTTTCTTGAAAATCACTTGCCTTGATTAGGTTCCTTAACTAAACTTCTAATTTGTGCTTTAAAATTTAACATAACACATTTGCAACAATACTATTTAAATCCTGTATGTAAAAACCATCCTGCAGCACGCATCCAGAATCCACTTCATACATTCTTGTTGTCTGCTAGATAAAATCACATTTTTTTTCCTAATATTTGTATGATGTTTATCTTGTCTTCCAAATTGAAAACATAGCGTCCCATAGGTCTGATACACAATACTCCAAGCATGATCTCACTTCAGTGTTATTTAAGAACAGTATTATATTGGCAATTCTGTTTCCACTTCCCTTCCAAAGATTCCAAGCATGGAGTTTACCTTTTTTACAGCAGCTGCATATGGGCTGACATTTTCAATTATGCTGTCCATCCTGACTGCAAAGTTCTTTTCCTGGTTAAGTGGTGCCAGTTCAGTTTCCATTAGCATATACCATATATGGAGTTTGGAGGCTTTTTGTCCCATACTTTACTCTATTTTACCCCGAATTGCATTTGCCATTTTCATGCTCAATCACCAAGCTTGACCCCTTTCGAAGCTCTTCACAAATTATATACAACCTTAAAAACACCAGTTCCACTACTGTCTGTACATCTCACCAGTGTTACCTGTTTATTTCCATTCTCGTTTCCTTTTTTTAAAATTCAAATGCCAAGCCATGAAAGCATTTGTCCTTCTATTCTATGACAACTGAGTTAGCTGAGGAATTTTGTCAAATGGTTTTTTAAAATCTAGGTGTACAATAACACCTCGCCTACATGCTTGTTGATGCCCTCAAAAAAGGTCTAGAAAATAAGTGAAACTAGATTTTCTTTTGCAGAAATTATTGGTTTCTTTTTGGAAAGGCTTATTTTTCTATGTTGGTTATTTTCTCTTTAATAATACTTTAAAATACTTTCCACAAAACAGATGTTAGCATAACTGGTTTCCCTTACCACCCATAAATCTCTTTTCAAAAACTTAGGTCACAATGACTGTTTCAGACCTTGGTAACAGATTCTGATGTTGAAGAGAAGTTGAGTATTTTTATGAAAAATTCAACAATTTCATATTCAAGTTCTTTAAGAGGGCTTGAGGGCTGTCTGGTTCTGGGATTGATCTATCTTTAGCTTATCTATTTGATTTATAACATATCTCTTATTATGACTATTAGTATCCATTGTCCAGGTTTCCCCAGCTGAAGCACAGGAATCTGTTCTACATTTTTCACAGAGAAGAAAGAAATAAAGAATTCCATTCAGTTTCTCTGCTATTACTCTTATCTCCCTTTAGTGTTCCTATAATGCTCCTATTATCCAACTATCATTCTAACCAATTTTCTATTCCAAACGACCTGGAGATCTTTTTCTTAATCCTCTTTGCCATGTTCTTCTAAGTCTTATTTTGCATTTTTTATTATTTTGGTAGCCAAAAGATATGCAGACAGGGTAGTGACATAATAACATTACTGGAAAGAGCAGAGATACGAAGGGGCTGGTTCCTGTTTGTTTTTTAAAGCTTTCTCTGTGTATAAACCTATTGAGTCTAATAACTACTTTCTGTGTAAAGAGTTTCCCACTGAAAATTGGCAGGAGACATAGTGTTGTTGCTTAGCAGTTTGCTGTCAAATTTCAGTGTCACAATCTTAAATCTGGGGACAACAATAAATAGGCTTGGAAACAGCCTGCAGACTACTGTAATGGATTAAGTGATAATATGGAGACAGAAGACATACTGCTGCTATTCCAGACCTTGAGTCAGATGAAGATGCAGGTACCATGGTCCCACCTGGTTCTATTGATTTTCTTCAGAGTTCTATCAAGAATTTAGTATAAGTCAGGTCACACCATGTTACAATGTCTCCTGCTCTCTAGTATCTACCTATCCTCTGTCATAAAATCACAATATATGTATGGTATGATCACAGTCTTTACTGGCTATGCCTTAGGTACTTCAAAAGATAGCAATACAATATTGTTTCATATGTCCCTAGCTTTATGTTAAGGACACCCTGACCTATTGCATAACTTTAACTGGGTTCACATCAGGGGTGAAATCCAGCAGGTTCTGACAGGTTCTGGAGAACCAGTAGTGGAAATTTTGAACAGTTTGGAGAACTGGTAGTGGAAATTTTGAGTAGTTCAGAGAACCAGCAAATACCACCTCTGGCTAGCCTGAGTGGGGTGGGAATGGAGATTTTACAATATCCTTCCCCCAGGAGTGGGGAGGGAATGAGGATTTTGCAGTATCCTTTCCCTGCCACACCCATCAAGCCACGCCCAGAGAACCAGTAGTAAAAAAATTTGGGTTTCACCACTGGTTCACATACTGCACTAAATCTTGTTTAGTTTGTTGAGTAGGCCACAACCATCTCTGTGAGCCACAGTCCAGAAAACTACATTATAACCTGATAGGAAATGTCAACCCAGTCTTTGTGTTGTGATGTGTGCAAAAGAGAGGGACTCTACCAAAACTGAATAGGTTGTCAGTCATAGAAGAACTGTTATGAATATCTGTGGTATAAACACCACAGGGTAAAAGATGAATCCTGATTTTTTTGTAAAGTGAGCTGTACAAAGTGAGGGGAGGTTGAAACCCACCTCCCATGCCTCTATCTTTTTTTAAAGGAGTTTTATATCTGTTAACCTGGAGGTACAACTGTAGGGTTTTTTTTCTCCCTTTCTTCTGAAATCACATCAAAACTTATAATTAATTTATTTGAACAAAATAATAAATAAATTAAAATAAAATGTCCTGATGTGACTTCAGGAGGGATAGGAAGAAAGAAACCCCCTCCCCAAGTCCTAGTGCTGAAGTAGGGAATGTTCTGATCTCAAGTGTCTTTTGGAAAGATGGATAGTGTAATGGTAAAATGATTCCCTGAAGGAAGGGGAATATCCCTTTTACTAACACTATATTGTTAAAGCCCAGAGACTACTATTCACAGAGCAATATTAATAACCTTCTTGGTAGGGAACATTCTGCTCCAGGGCTCCATGAATGAAGGTTGAAAAGCCAGTTGGGAGCAGCTTTGGGATAAACAAATTGAGCGTGTATTTTTTTCTCAACCTGAATTCTCTTTAACAAGAAGAAAGAAGGAACCCCTTATTAATAAGTTAGTGTTAGATGGCTGTTGGGATGTCCAATTAGGCTGCTGTCAGAGAGGCAATTTTAGCCTGATAGCTGTTCTGGTTTAACTTTCCTTATCTTTTTACCCAGACACTGCTATCCATGCAATCTAAGTAGAATCCATTTTAGTCTTTCAGATCTGGAATCCCAGAAAATACCTCACCCTTTTCCCAAAGTTAGCAATACATCCATTTAACATGTGCAAAGTTATGGGCCAGAGTACTAGATGCTACATGCTGTAACAAGTGCACTAGGGAGTGGATAAGTGGATGTGTCACAGGAGAAGGAATGATGCCATTTGCTTTTTTTTCTTTTCCCCTCAGTTGTTGAATGTATACTTTGGGGCGCAGAAAAGTTCTGGAAGGATTATTGAACTGCCAAAGGGCATATATGCTTCATCGCCAAGTTCATTTGCTGGCATAAAAACCTCAAGACACCTTCTGATCCTAGTTAGACAGTGGCTCCTCCATTTGAGACTCAGCAACAGCCGACAGAAAAAGACTCCAGTGTCTCTGATTACATCATGGTGGTGCAGAATAATCTGGATATTGGGGAAACCAGGAAAGGAATCCTGCTGGAACCATTCATCCACCAGGTTGGAGGACATATGAGCATGATGAAGTATGATGACTGCACTGTCTGTAAGCCGCTTGTCTCTCAAGAGCAATGGTTCTATGAAGCTCTTCCAACAGCAATGAAACAGTTCACTCCTTGTTACAAAGGTAGGACTAAGATTCAAATTGTGAACACACATATTTGGAAATAAGGGCCGGTAGATTCTGAATAAATAAAACACAGGCCATGTTGCAAGGTTAATAGTAAGAGGTTAAGGGCATGAGCTTAGCAAACGATGCTTATAAATATATATATATCAGAAATACCACCTCTTCTGCTCCAGTTGCCAGGAAAGAAATGAAGTTACTAGACCTTGTCGCACAGAGAAATGATATGTTGTTCAAAGCCATTAAAAATATACAGGGCAGTTGTTAGCAACTAGTGAAAGGAAAGAATGAAATCTGAGACAGGAGCAAGAAAGTGATTGTTGTGTCTTTCTTGGTATCTGTAAGGCAAGATGATCTTACTCTATAAAAGCCTCACTGGAAGAAGTTGTCCTGCCTTGGTTACCAAATATTATGGACGTCCAGACAGCATTTATCATTTTTTCATATTTCTATCTAACACCTGGTTCCTTGAATACCTCACATCTGAAAACATGTTCCAACTTTCAGTGGAACTATGGCTAAGAACCTGCAAATATAAATATGTTGTATGCAGAGAAAATTGAATATGTGATGGAGGATGGCACATGCCAATGTTTAGATAATCTGCCTTTCAAATAAGTAAGCTTGCAAAGAGTAAGAAAACAGAAGGAAAATCAAACCTATTGTGTGCTCTTACCAATTAGAGATGAAAAGTGACCCTTTTAAATGATGCTGAAAGTGAGGGAGTGAATTACTTTGTTGTTTGAAACGATAGATGATACCATGGATTGTGTTGTCCAATTGTCCAGGAAATAATTGCACTGAAATTATTTTAAGATAAGGTTTTATACTGGTGATTCTCATTAGTTTTGGTAAGGTTGGATTAATAGATGGAGGAAAATACTTCAGTGTCTTATCATCAGGATGCAGCTAATGTTGCTTTAATGGTTCAGATGAACAAACACCTGTCAGTTAAAAGCTAGTTGCAGTTGTGATTGCAAACCCAGATGGTTAGAATGCTTTACCACTTTTATACCACAACTTGGAGAAGGGGGAGTTAAAAACCCATCAAAGAAAGGAGAAACAAGAGATAAAGTCCTTTTCCAATACAGAAACAGAACAAGAAGCCAATTTACTACTAATGGACAGGATCTCCAAAGTCCCCTCATTTAAGCATTTTTTTTCCCATTGATGCTGCAGATATTTCAGCAGTAGTGATATGAGTTTGTACTGTAAGTTAATCCATTTGGACTTTATCATGTTTTGATTCCATGTAAAGAAGCCATCTGTGCATATTATACCTTCCATAATGAGATGATGTCTCCTGGGCTGTAAATAAAGGAAAAAAGAACCAAATCTAAAGCTGACTAGCAATGGGATTGGGGGGGGGAGTATTTTTCCATAGCTTATTATTCATTATAATTTGATTTGTTTTAATTCATGTTATTCGTTATTGTAAAAACTTGACTGGGAAGGACTTAAATTGCAGAAAAGCTCTCATTCTGATTTTGATCATTATCCATTCCATATGTGAGGGGCACAATGATCTTGGACTGGAACAACCCTTATGTATCTCTTTGATGTTGTGCAGCTTTTAGTTGTCTTAGAAAGATAAGCCAATATTCAAAATTTTATAAATAAAAGCATGAGGGACTGGCAAACAAAAATACAATAAACTTTAAATTAGTTAGATATCAGATAATATTCATCCTTGCCCATTTCCTGGTATGAGAAAGAACACAAAAAATGAAATACCGTGAGATCAGATATACAATACTAGCCTAGACATCTTATCTAATTTTGATGCTGATATCTGCTCCAAAGAAAAAGCACCTGTTCCAGGATTTCATAATCTCTTGGCCCAAGTGTCTTTTCATCAGGAATACTGTGGGAAGATCTCTTTGCATTTAGTCATAGGTTCCTCAGAGAAATAGTAGGATACAAATAACAGAAAAACAGAACACAAATAAACTTTAAAACAGTAGAAGTTGAGTTAAATCCATTGCATGGTAATTATTTGAACAACTATAATGTACCGGTATTATGTATTAAAGTCTATTTATAACTTCATGTCTGAGGAGAATATAGCAATAGTTCTTCAACTTCTCTGACTTATTTGCTAGTTCTAAGCCTAAATTTTCTGTCTGAACTTTGTTTCCAATGTGGAAGTAAGATTCAGTTACCAATCTGGTCAGTTTTCACACAGAAAGGTAAAAAATAATGACTTAGGTCAGCCTGATGAACCTTTAGGTTTGTTCTGACTGGGAATCAGAGTTTCTGAAAGATTGCCAATCAGATATTAATATTTTTTATAGAAATACTTTTCATTATATCATTACATTTTGCTGAAGCCATACTAGGACGCTGGCTACTTAATAGACTATAACATCTGGAAAACAAAATATAAATAAAGTACAAACCAGTCAATAAAGCCATAAAGTAAACACAGGTCGCTTCAAATCAACAGCAAAATTTTGCATAATTTTGTTAAGTTGAATTCATGCAGACCCAGAATTTGAAACAAGCCCATTTGTGTAAGAGAAAACTTCATTTTGAGATATAAAAAGAGCTTGCAGTCAATAATTTTCAAAATGGGATAGGGAACAAATACATTGCTATGAATTATATAATAAGAAATATCGCTGCTTCAACCAAAAGTATCCCCCCATTCGCTCCAATTTTATAATATGTATTCAGGCTGCACATTGCTTCAGTTGTCATTCATTCTACCCTGGCTGTGAAGCAATGGAAGATGGGCTGACCCAATTAAAACCCCTTCCACCCCATTTCTTTCTAAGAGGCAAGATTTAAACATAAAATTGTCCCCCTGGGGCTGAGTTGGCACTTTTCCAGCAGAGAGCTGTTTTACAAGAATGCCTGCATTTTAAGAGTTCTTATCTGAGCTCAATAGAATATACAATCACCTCCCACGTCTCTTATTTCATTCTTTTACCATTAACATGAAAACATCAAGATGGCTCATTTTCTCTTGAAAAATAATGCATACTTTACAGGCGTTGCTTGTATTAAAAAAAAAATCTCTCCCTCTCTATAATATTGCAGAAAAAGCTATGAAATGAAGAAATCTTTTCATAAGTGCTAGCTCCCAAAAGTTGTCTGAAGTCCAAGTCTATAGTAGAGCTATCACAGTTGGCCTGTAGGAATTCAGATGAGACTCTAAGGTAAAGGTAAAGATTCCCCTCACACATATGTGTTAGTCATTCCCGACTCTAGGGGGTGGTGCTCATCTCTGTTTCAAAGCCAGCACTGTCCAAAGACGCCTCCATGGTCATGTGGCCAGTATGACTAAACACCAAAGGCGCATGGAATGCTATTACCTTCCCACCAAAGGTGGTCCCTTTTTTCTATGTGCATTTTTTACGTGCTTTCGAACTGCTAGATTGGCAGAAGCTGGGACAAGTAACGGGAGCTCACTCTGTTACGTGGCACTAGGGATTTGAACCACTGAACTGCCAACCTTTTGATCGACAAGTTCAGCGTCTTAGCCACTGAGCCACAGAAAAGCTCTTTTTTGGGGGGTATCATCTAATGATTATCTGAATTTTGGAAGCTTAGGTATGGTAGACCTCTATAAATAGTAGCATTTTTCTTCCCATCTTCTTTTGTTATCTCACTGCTATTTTTGGCTGGCTATCAGTGTCCCAAGAAGGTTTTATACCCAATGGCAAATAAATTCACCCAAGCATGTTCTGCAAATGTTATTAATCAACAGCTCAGATATATGAATCTTTCACAGATACTGTATATCATGTGAAATGCATTCAAAGGTATCCTTGTAATTACACTCAAAGGCAACTACTTTTTGGTGGGCAAAAAAGGAACAAGACTTTGTAGTTTCAGTATATAGTTTTTACTTTTAGCAAGAAGGCATTTCATGCCTGCAAAAACCACCACAGGAATTCACATAAAGTGTTGCCATTTTAAATAGGTTGAAGCACTTTCACAAAAGTAAATTCTACACAGCAATACCCAGCCTGCTGCTTCAAATGGCAGGCTGGAGTGTTAAGTCATAAAGAGGTTTGTTGGGAACTAGAAAGTTTCTTCAGACAGCTGTTTGAAACTAAAAATATGAAGGAACGGGTTTTCATAATTTTGCTTCAGATATTCTGCTGTACATGACTGTCATTCAATACCTTTACAATAAGGATCTAGTTTTCCTACAAGTATGATAATGGAATTCCTAATTCGGAATACTAGAATTAAATACAAATTCCACTGACTAGTCCCCTATAATTTTTTAGGGCATGCCACTCCAAAAAATCCCTTCATCTGGCCTGGTATCAACATATCTTTAGACATCACCTTTGAAAAAATCTGAACGCTTTCCTAGAAAACTAAAGGTCAGGCTGAACGTCAGTAGAAATAGCTCTATATTTTTGGCATGGATTCACCAGTGGAGTTATGGAGTTAGATATTTTTATAGAGTTGCATATATTTATAACTCCTGGAGGTTTTGAGGTAGTTTAAGAGCCATTATGTAATGATATCACTTTATAAAATGTTGCCCAGCTTCCACCAATTAAGTCTACTACAAGCTAGCACTATTTCAGAAGGCTACTTCCAGATAAAACCGTCTTTTTATTCATTTCAGTACAAATTAGACAACCTTGAAACAAATGCCTTCCTTTGGGCAACATCTTCTCTCCCAAAATTACTTGTCTAGTTTAGAGCTCATTATGAGATTAGACTTATTTTCAAGTAGGTTTTGTTCAGGTTTATGTTACACATGGCAGTAAATAAATGTGCCTATTTATTTAAAAATACACATCCAGGAGCAGAGCTATAGAGACTCAAAGCAAAACAGCTTCTAAGAATTGCCGAGATGTTTCTAACCTGATACCTTCTGTAAATATTCTCCTCTGCCTGCCATTGCCATGTACAAAGCCAAACAAGTTTGAGCCCTGCAATAATAAATGTGCTGAAACTATGTTGCATATGTTGATGAATTCTACAGTCATACATATAATTCATATTGGTGCAATGAGAGTTTTGACTGTTTA